AATCAAATTCTAAAGTTTCCCAGGGACCCAAAATTTGGCCCAGACATTTCTTTCTTCTAGGTGTAATAACTCTTTTCTTAGAATAACAGAACACAGACACCAGCTGAAGTGCTTGGCACAGTCCCAAGTGTGAGGAAGTAACAATAAAGTCTTCCGAGAGGAAGGCCTTAGGGTGAGAGATTGTCTGCTCCTGTTTTGAAAACAATCCAAACCAACAGCCACTTCTGTTTGTACTTTATCAGCTGGCAAAGAACAGCACAAGGGGTAACTAAGTTACACATTTGTAACAGAAAGAAAGAGGAAAGTAGTAGCATTCCTTCCAAAGGGAAGAAAACCTGTAACAAAATCTCTCAAGCTCTCCTCATTGCTGCCCCTTTTGACTCCTCAATCAGACTATTAGTCTTGTACTAATATGTACACTTAGTATCATCTCAAATTGCAGTACAATTAATTTACCTCTTTTTGAAAAAAAGGAGGTATCAACTATTTTTTAAAAAGCAGAAGGTAAGGAACTTCCAGGGAAGAATACGAGATTGAGTAGGAAGATTTGCTGGAACAACAATGCTTAGATTTTCAAAAAATGAAAGATTTTGATAATGAAGAGATGCACTGCTCAAAGATTCACTTTTGGGTTAACTCGAGAATTTTGTGGAAAAGAGAGTACATTTCATGACGAGACAGCTGCCCCTGTGTACCATGTCCCAGTATCTGGTCACAATTAAGCACTCCTGAAGTCTTCCCCAAAAAACTCCAACCACAACAAAGTGCATATTCTGGCTACTTAACTACCTTTTATCACTACATTTCAGGATAGATTTGCTCCCCTGGAGTGCTTTGTCTGAGGCACCAGACACACCTGTGAATTCTTCAGCAGGCCTCTCAAGGAGCTACACAGTTCTCTCATTCAGAAAAATCTCAAAGACATTTTGACAGGGCCATTCTAAGAGAATACACTCTAAAAACAAGTTTAAGTAGCAATTTTGAAAATCAAAGGAGCCACACAAGGAAATCCCATCTCAATTATTACCAAAATTGTTAAAAAAAATTATTACCTTTCCCCAAGTCAAATGAGAATTTATCTCTTCTGTCCAGACTGGAGTCAAATTTTGTGCCATCAAGAAGCCACCCTGTGTAATGGACAGTCACTTTATCACCTATCATCGGAGACTCTGTCCCACTGCCTTCTCTCTTGACAACCTGAGAAAAACAACAATCAGCATTAACATTATGGAAATCAAGTCTGCCTGCCCATTGGACATGAATCACAAATACCTAGATCCCTGTGTTATCATCTTTAGTAGACAAAGCATTTGCAGGTTTCCCTCAGTCACCTGGAAATGGACTGGCTGTTCTTTCTGCAGATTAGCAGTGCTGCAAATGCAGAACCTCAAGATGGCTGTGCTGTGATAGAAGAATTTAACAGGCAGCAGTCGGCACCAATTTACAGATCTCTGCATTAGGCAAGGCTTTCCCTTCTTTATTCAAGTATTTGCCTCATCACCTCTCTATCATCACACCCGAGTTCAGTGTTCTAGGCAAAGCACTCAAACAAGAGAACAAGGTGGTTCTTTCCATACATAGTCTATTCCAGCATGTAATCTGAAATTACTCGAATTAAGCCAGGCAGTTCAAAGAAGGTTAGCAGCGTCTCACCCCAAGCAGATTAGTTCTGTCAGCCTACAGAGTAACACTTGAAAATTATTTATCACAATAATTCTGTCTCCCCACAATTCTAACATGGATGGCCTTGTCTCACATACAGCTGCAAGGATTTGATTTTCTTCTTAGGGAACTCCCCAGCCTGTCCAGCAAATCAAGTATTAAATAAATCTACACTATGCAGAAAGGGGGGACAATCTCTCTGGTGTTCATTTGAAGTTTATATAAAGTTTGAGAATAAAAGTGACATATCTCACAGGCAAGGATGCAAGGCCTTACCCATAACAGGATTCCTGAAGTTCAGATTTGAATTTTTCCCAATACAGACTGAAACCTTCGGCCCCAAGCCGAAGTTCTGCACTATCTTGGCCAGGCAAAAGGGGACCAATTGAGGAACCTATTTGCTTGTATCATGGAGATTTGGAAAACATTCTGTTATAGAAGATAAACATCTATTCAAGGGCAGTTACAGGGCATTCCTCCTTTAAATGTCATGTTTCTGTATCAATCGTGATTTTCACTGAAGTTCACAGACCTTTGGCAGTCTCCTTCACAAATTTCAGTTTCCTGCAACCCACCCCTTGTCAATCTCCCACCTGACCTTCCACCATCCCTGTGACTGACTATACAACTGAAATGCCAGGATGCTCCTTCCAAAACCAAAGCTTCACCATCAACAGCTTCTGTCAGACTAACAAGCTGAAAGCACCTCACTGAAAGCATAAAACAAAAAAAAACCAAACAACAAAACCCCACAAATAAACAAAACCTAGAAAAAATCCTGCCCGGTGTTTTCTAAGGAAAGGATGCTCAGCATGAAAAGGGATGCCTGACCTCACACAGCATACCATCCCTTTACCCTGCAGCAGCACCACAACAGTTATTAGCATTACAAAACTAATCTACCGACGTCTCCCCAAGGAAGGCAGAAGTTCAAGCAACTCTCACAGAGAGAAGGAAACAGAGAAGTTATGAGAAAAACACATGAATCAGGTAAGCAACCTAACCTACGTAATGCTTAGGCATAGATCTATATAAAGCAGATGCAAACTAGCACTTTAAAGCAGCCAGTCTGATGTAATTTTGAAAAACTAACTGCACTTAATGGAAATTCACTAAACTTTACCAAATGCCATATTCTTGTAGGATCATAGCAAGGTATTCTAGAGTAACAAGTATCTCATTTTCATTACTCATACAGTTTATTCTTTTGCATTTTTTCCATTTTGAACAGACTGAAGTTTCACTTCTGAATATGGCAATCGTATTTTCTTTAAGGTTTACAATTCCTTTTCAAACGGAGAAACAGGGTTTTTCAGTTCATATGGCATTTCAATTGGTTTATTTTCAAGCTTAATTACTTATTCTAGGAATTGTGCAAGCATATTCAGCAATATCAGGTAAAAAACTGTGGACACTATTTTGACATAAAGAGAATGAGCAAATAAAACACACTCCTGGAATCACTGCAACAATACCAGTACAAAATCGGTGTAAGTTAGTTCAGCTAGATGCTTGATTTCCATAGGTGCATTCTGCACTCCAGCAATCACGAGAAAAATAAAATCCACGAAGGCTGGACTTCATGACCTCTTTGGTATTTTACTTATTGTGCCACAATCGCAATTTCTGTGATTTTCACAAACTCACTTTGTTTGCTAGTGTTTTGTACTCCCCTCCTCTAAAAAAAAAATTAAGAAAAAAAAAAAATCCAAAAAACCACCTGCTGCTTCTCCATCATCAAGAAGTAGGTACTGCATGAATCAGGCAGACCCTCACTGTCTTCTACCATGCTCAAGGGATGTGGTCTGCAGGAGACCTGGGCAGCCGTGCAGAGAACTCTGACCTGATACCGTACTATGTACAAAACCCAAAAATTCTCACTTAAGCATGCTAGCAGGAGACATTGGAAAAGCAGAAATATAGCAGCCAACATTTTCAATCTGCTCCCCGATACCCCTCCTGAACGGGAGACAGCGCCTCCAGAACGAAACCAGAATTTAGAAGGCTCTAAAGGTTAAACCTAGCATTTCGCCTTTACTGTGGCGCCCTTTCGTCCTTCTGAACACCCTAACTCCGAAATTTTACCGCGGTTGAATAACGCTTCTAAATAATCGCTTAAGTTTATAGCAGAGCCTAAGGAAGTTTCTAGAGATATGGAAATAGGCAACGTCTGACAGAGGAAGTTCACGCAACTCCCCCTCACGGTATAAATCCTGCTGCCCTTATCGCCTGTCTCCCCAGTACAAAGGAGAGCAGCCGCTCCGCCTCGGCCGCGCCGGGGACCTGCCCGCCCGCCCGGCGGCACCGAGGGGCGGCCAGGCCGCGGCACCGCGCTGCTCGGGCCGGGGGCTGCCCCGAGCCCGGGGCCTCAGGGGAGGTGCGGCGGGGACGGGCACCGACAGGGCACCACACGTGCCCCGCCGGGGCTCCATCTTTAATTCCCAGCCCCGGACACGTGCTGGGGGGCGGGAATTCACCCACACCCCCTCAACCCGCGCTGCCAGCCGGACAGAGAGCCCTGCCCGCCCACCCCCCGCATCTTCCCCTAGACCACGGGGGAAAGCCCAAACGCAGCGAGAAGCGCCTTTTCCCTGCACAGCTCCTCCGTGACCCCGAGCTCTCCCAGCGGGCAGCTCGGGCTCCGGATCGCCCTGGCAGGGGCGGTGGGAGCCGGGGGGAGCGGGGAGCCCCCGCGGGCGGTCGGGCAGCGCTTGCGCAGCCGGGGCGCACTCCCGCCCTCCGCCGCTGTTGTTTAATAGCCCGCGCTGCGCCAGCCCTGCCTGCGTGCCCGGGGATCGTCTCGTCCCCTTCCCCGCGGGGCACACAATGGGCCCGGTGGGGCCAAAGCGCCCCAGGAGCACTCGCCCACAGGCCAAGAAGAATGCCCCCGTTCTTTCCGTCCCCGCTGGCGCGGGGACCCCTCTAAGCTAGGGCCGAGGGTGAGGATGGGGGAACAGCCGCCCGGTACCTTGAGGACGCCCTCATCCTGCTTGGGAGTGATGTCCACCCCTTCCAGGGGAGCCCCGTCCGCTTTCATCTCCTCCGCCGTCATGCCGCCTGCCGCTGCCACCTCTGCGCAGGGAAGGGCCGCCTTGCGGGCTCAGTGCTGCGGCGAGCGCCGGGATGAGGCTGGGATAGCGCCTGACTGCGCCTCCGGCTCCGAGCAGCGCGCTGGGGGCGGGCGCCGCACGCCTCCTTTCCCTGCTGCTCTCGCCGCAGCGCCGGCCCCTACTCGGGAGGAGGAGGAAGGGGAGGGGAGAGGGAGGGACCGAGAAGTTTCTAGAGCGGCCGCCGAGCTGCCGCAAAGCGCCCGGCCGTGCCAGCGGCCGGGGTGAAAGTGTGCGTGGCCTCCGGGGGCGGAAAGGACGGTGAGGGTAAGGCAGCCGCCTGGCCGCGTTAAAGTCCGGGGCGGTGGGCGCAAAGGAGAAGAAGAAAAGGAGGAGGAAGAAGAGGAGCTTATTTACGATAGGAGGGAGGGCGCGCTTTTACGGCGCCGAGCTTGCAGGGCAGGTGCGCGTTCCTCTCGCTGGTGATGCAGAGGAGCCGGCCCGGCAGCGAGGAGGAGCTGCTCTGTCCTGCCCTGGGGGAGCTTTACTGTAAGCTGCACTTGTAATAAAAGAAACCCGTCTGACCCCTCAGTTTTAGCAACCCTGTGCAGATGCATGGCTTATATCCTTTTTGCCGGCCACGCAGTATTGGGTGATGCCAGAAAAGGAAGTATAGGTAGGCACAGAAGCACCATGCCGACAGCGAGCATACAGCCCGGGGAGCTCGGGCTTCCCTTGGTTGGAGTCCCATTAGGAGCCGTGTGCTTGAAAACCATTTGTTACTCAGAACCAGGAAAGGTAAAGACGTGCTTAGGGCACAGAGTATAAGCACTCTGTGGCTTGCCCGTCTGTATCCATCCGGATAAAGTAGCACCAGTTTGTGTACCAACCTGCTGCTGGAGTGTTTGGGGATGCATAAATAGAAATAGGTGCTTCCTCTTAATATGAAGAACATTAGTACAAATATGCAGGAATTAGCAGACCAGTCTAATTCTAGGCTACTCAGCATCTGTATGTGCCTCATGGATGGTACGGTCCATTTGGCTAAATCATTTGCAAAATCCAATAATGTAAAATCGGGCTAGAACCATATCCATCACTTTCGCCATAAATAAGGAAAGCAAAACTGTTAAATGGGCTCCACCTTCCACTGCAAGCCTTAAAGACCCGCCCCCCGGCAGCGCAGCTTTGCCCACTCCTCGCATAGGGCGGCACCTTTCCCGTCTGTTCTTGAACCTTCCTCCCCGCCCGCTCGCTCGGCATTCCCGGTGGGTGCTGGGCTGGCTGGCGCGGCTCCGCTCGCCGCCCGCTCCTGGGGCGCCCGCCGCGCTTGGTGCTTGCTGTCCAGCGTGGTGCTTGAGCCCTCAGTAACAAAAGCGGTGACCGACGGTGAGAGGAGGCTCGCAGGCGGGCGCGCAGTGTCCCGGAGCTGCTTTTCCAAGCTGCAATGCCGTCTCGCGGCACTTCAGTGCAAATCTCTGGAGTGGGAGCTTGCTCTGTGAGGGTACCGGCTGCATCTGACCTGACCGGAGCTGCTCTGTGCCAGCATAAAGCTGCGTCTGTGCCTGCTGCACAACGACTCCAGCAGCCTGAGGTGGGCTCTGCCGGTGCCAAAGGAAAGGAGTAGCAGAAGAGACTAAAGGAACCTGTAGTTACTCTGGCAGCTGAGTGTAAACTGCAAAATCTACGGGTTTCCCCTGAGAAAGAGCATGTTTTTCAACCCCACGCAAACGTACACTTTAGTTTACTTTCAAGCTGAGTAAGAACGGAGAAGGCAGAGAAGGAAAGGATTGTGGTTTTTGCGTTCGTTTGGTGTAGAAGCTTCTAGCTGCTCTCGATTTGCAATTTAACATGAATGAGTTATTTGATTGGAGATTAGATCTGTAGGAGATACAAAGCTGGATCTGTGTGGACCTTGATACACTGAGGAACACAGAGAGAAGCATCGTTCAGGTCTAGCAGGTCTTGGAGGCACAGCAAAAACACAGGAGGTAATTCTTCATCTCATGAGTCTGTAGGATGCTAAATTTACCATCTCCTGTCAGCATTAGCACACAAGTTCTCCTACGTTCTCAATTCATCTGACATTGTTTTTTCATCTAAAATTTCTAATAATAAACTAACTACATGTTGGTTTAAAATAAATCTTTGCAGGTCATTCTGTCTTGTGTTTGGCAGCGAAGTTTCTTTTTGGGACTGGTACTTTCCAGCTGCGTGTTTTCTACTTCATAATCCAGCATTTAAAAATTGCAGAATGTATAATTGGTGCCAAATTATCTACAACTGCCAAACATGCTAGAACCAAGTTTAATAAAGTGATAAATAGTAGAAAGGAGAGGCGATCTTTTCGTGGAGATCATTTACAGATGTTACACAGCTCGTATTTCCAGCCATCCCCTAGTTTTCAACATACCAGTGCAAGCACTTATGTAAGTAATTTAAATCAAGTACTTCAAGTTACGTTCCTTAGTAACTTTTCAAAGACTGTTTCGATACTGTTTGAGGGCCTCCCTGAAGGGCTATATGTGCAGGGCTTTATGGAAAAGGGGCCAGAGACAGCAGCAAAACAGCAGTGAGTGTCTGGGGGGATGTCAATGCCATAATGCTTTTGGTAGGGTATGGATGGAGGGAAGGTAGGTTAGAACAGTCTCTTTTTTAAGCCTCTTCTAAGGCCAGCTTATAGTACCACAGCATTGTAAAGGTGCCTCATGTCAGGCCTGTTCTCAGAAGATACGTTGCACGCATAAAGGAAATACTTCAGAACTTGATGAAGAGAAAATTAAAATCTTGGCAATAGCTTTCAGGCAGAGTGAAATACAAGTGAGATGATTGCTTCAGGCAGCAGAGAATATTCCAACCAGTAAGATGTCCTGAAAAAATTACAAATTCCAACAAGAGTCTGGAACAGCCTCCCAGGACATGAAGCCAACCTAAAGCTGGTCAGCAGCAGGCTAGATTTAGGAATAGGTTTATGTAAAGCCTTGCTAAAGATAACAAAGCTTGGTCTTAAAAGATGGCATAGGGCAACACAGCTCAAACATAGCTTTATCAACAGGTCCTACACAGGCAAGGGCAGGACACAAGGTAGCCCAAAGCCCATCAGGAAGGGAGGACCTTTGGGGTGCTGTCAAAGGGTTGGCTTCCCAGGTATGACATGGCTGGAGTCACTGTGCTGTGTAGGTGGACCAAAGCCCCAGTGTGACATGCTGTGGCCTGGAAGTTCGCTTGCCCAGCTGTGATGATCATGCTGGCACCGCAGACTCCCGAGAACTGGGAAAAGAAGTGAGGAATGCGTGTCTGTACAAGCTCAAAGATGACATTTCAAGATAGCGGCAAACAGAGTAACCAAAAAAGGAATGACCCTGACTATTCATTTGTGACTGGAGCAGGAACTGAAACCACGCTCATCAAGAGCACTGGGTTCACCCTTGGTTGGCTTGAAAGGGCTGAGCACAGGGTGTAAGAAAGGAATAAAGGCAGAAGCCACACTCTCTGTGTTGACTGGCACTGGCCAGCAGCTGGCAGGTGGACAGATAGCCAGACATCAGCAGGGTCCTCCCGTCCCTGATGCCAGCTGCCAGGGAGCACAAAATCCAACCCAACGTGGCTTGAGTTTGGTGAAGACCTTCCTGGGGAAACTAATACAGTTAAGATTAGCTCATACACCATGGGCAACAGTAATAATTTGTGCACCCATGTTATTTGAAGTAAGGCTTTAAAACTTGATAGATTGTAACAAAGCGTTAAGTAAACTTGTTAGGGTTTTTTTTACTTGGCCTATATTTCTTCTGGGGGATTGTTGGGTTGCTGTCGAAATCCCACGGAAACCCCAGATGCTCATCTGTTGGTGTGTCACACTTATACTGAACGGGGAAAGAATGTTACTTAATAGATCAGAGACAGCTTTAATTATTTCTTGCTGCATTATAAAAAATAATGGTGATAAGGAGGAAGCAATGCTCATTTTATGAAATTGCATATTTTTTGTTGCAATCAGCAGTGCTACCATTGAAGTCCTCAGTAGGGCACAAACCTTCATCAGTCTGACCCTACCCTCGTATTTTGTGTGACATGTCAATGATAGATTATTAAGCTGCTCATCACCTGAGTTATGCCTGCCTGTTCTTCAGTCTCAGCTTCACTGAGCTGTCCCTGAATCCCTGCTTTCCCTTGCTTCCCAACAGGATATAGCAAACCAAGTTCCGTACTATCCTTTTAGTTTGGGAGGGATAAAGTTGTTATTTTTCCATACCCATGACCACATCACTGTAGTAGATTGGCATGGCCCACACACAAAGACCATCAGACCTCTTTTCTGCTCCTTTTCAAACGAAAGCAGTGGTGTTCACTCATCCCCTGCTTTCCAGCCGAGCAGCATTTACAGGGGAGAGATCTGAGCTGTTACACAGCAGGCATGCAAATGAGACTCAACCCTTCCAGCACCAGCTGGAAAAAGGCTCCATGTCTGCATTTCCCGAGGATTTCTGCGCTGCTCAGCTCCCTGTTCACCAACAGATGTCAATGGTTTTCTAACGTTATGGGCTGTAGGACTTACAGTTAGGCAAGGTCTCATTTTTTAAAAATTGTTCTCCAGTAAGGTTATGATTTCTTCTGTGCATCTGTACCTTGATTTCTATTGTTTGGTGGTTTCATTTATGTGATATATGCTGTCCTTTTTAATCCCAAGTATAGATTTTCAAAAAGACTAAACAGCACTTGTTTGTATAGACATCTCTTCTGATTCAATGTATCCCTGTCTTTACCAATTATAGCTCATTAACTTTCAACTCATAGAAATTCAGTAAAATGGATTAAAATTAAGATGTTATTTACCTTTCCAAATGCGAAATTAATTTAAAAATACCCGATCATGTTTCATCAGTTGCTTTCATTTTGTTCTTTTCTGTGCCGTGAAAGCAGTTAAAATTACTGGACAATGTATGTTTAGACATTCAGATTTTCTATTTCTTTGTGTCCCATTAGCCAGTGAGTGTACTCCAATGTGTGCATGGTAACACCACCAGAAAGGATGGGCAGTTCATGTTGTTTTTTCCTTAAACCACTGCAACATTTTACTAGGCTTGGAAATTGTAATGTTTTATAATCTATTGCTGTGAAGTGCCACATGAAAACAATGCCAGTAACAGTAATTACACAGGGTAATTGCCTGATTGATACTGCTGCAGTTTTACTAAAAAAAAATGGGTTTTTTAGGTTTTATCAAATTTCAGTCTGTTTCCTAATAACTCTTAGGACTGTCATTGTTAAAAATAAATAAATACCTGCAGTAGCTTCCTTTGGTAATTTCTATCTATCTAGTTTTTCTTTGGCTCTATTTCCCTTAGATGTATTTAACTTTGTTTTTTTAAAAAACTTTTATTATTTAACTCTGGAAAGGTTTTCTTAATGTATTTTTTCCCAATTTTGTGTTTCCCATGCAAGCCTTCTTGCTTGGCTTCCTCCCACTTCTTCATCCCTTTTCTCCAGCTGTGTCAGAGGAAGGTCAGATTGGATGTTAGGACCATTGCAGTGTCTCACTACCATTACCATAAAAAATTTCTTCCATATAGCCAAATGTACAAAATCCAAATCTACCCTCTTTCAGTTTAAAACCTTTTGCTGATGAACTGACAATGAAAATAAGTATTTTTGTCTCTTCAGCAAATGCCAAACATTTATTTTGCCGAAATTCCTCTCTTTGCTCAATTTGTTGATAAACATGGCAAGAAGCAAGAGTCCACCAATTCCTTATTGCTTACAGACTTTGCAGCATTCTTGATTCTTAGTTACTGTGCAGACAGCTAGATTGCAAATCTGAAAGAGAGGAAAGACTGGAAAACCCATGGGCCCACCCTAATGAGGAAGAACAGCCAAATCCCTAGAAATGATGTGTTTCACTCACTTAGGCTGCCTGTGTTCTTAACAGGTGAGACATCTCAGTGCCTGTCTTGCCTTTTTCATCCTATACTTCACAGATACTGCACAATCCCATAATCTTTACTCATGGAGGTCCTCCCATGTTTTGTAGGGACCTTAAAGAATCACCTGAAAGTGACTGACCACTTAACACACAAAATTTATTCCCATATTCACCCTCAGAGTTTGCCCAGGTCCTCTGTCTCACAGATATTCTTCCTGAGTGGACCAATGGGTTTGCCTGTGTGCGATGGCTTTTGTACAGCAGATTATGGAATCTTAAGTCTGCATTTAATAAAACCCAGTTACCTTCTCATGACATTTTTGCCCCTTTCCAGAGACAGAAGAAAGGCTAGGATAGATTTAGTCATCTGGCAGGGTTTATAAATGTTTTCTCCAATACCTACTCTCACAGTATTCTCAGCTCTGCAGGGAGTAGAAACTCTCTGGAGGTGGAAGGTGGAAGGGGTGGAAGGGAAGACAAGGAATTCAGAATCTTTGTCTTGAGACACTGTCATGGAGAATTTTTACTTCCATGTTAAGAGGGGAGGCAGCTAGGAGCCAAGATCTTCCTTCTGTGTGGGTCCAGGTCTAGTAGTTATTTCCTCCTAATTGATGTGAGAGACAGCCAGCTCAGTCTTCTGCAGCTTCCTTCAGTTCTTGTTAGAAAGTATGTTCTCTGTTCCTGCTGAGTTTTCTCCCTTCTCTCTCTAGAAAAGAGGAGATCATCTGTGGTTGTGTCTGCTCAGGGTCTAATGTGTGTACTCTCCACTCTGAAATGCTTAATACAACTGAAATGGAAAAGTTATGATTACATAGGAATTGGGAATTCTGTCACATGGTCACAATTGCTTTCAGTTAAGAGACTTAAAATCCTTTCCAAAACAGCCACACCTTGTTCTGGATAAATGCCAGGGAGCAGGAGTGTTCCTAAGTTGAGAGTGTAGGATGTTAGCTTTCAGATCCCATGATAAGAAGAATGGTGGGGGCTAAGAAGTTTGCTGATCTTACATCAAACTTAGTCTTGTGGTTTGTCCTCATGTAGAATAACTGAGGGACAATCCCAAGCACAAATACAGGTTAGGTGGAGAATTAATTGAGCCCTGCCACGGAGGACTTGAGGGTGTTGATTTCACCAGAAGTTTGACATGACCTGGCAGTGTACATTCACAGCCTAGAAAACCAGCCGTGCCCTAGGCTGCATCCAAAGCATGAACAGCAGGACGAGGGAGGGGATTCTGCCCCTCTGCATTTGTGAGACCCTACCTGGGGTGATGCATCCAGCTCTGGGGTTCCCATTTCCTAGGAAAACACAGACCTCTTGGAACAAGTCGAGAGGAGGCTGCCAAGATGATCAGAGGGCTGGAGCACCTCTCCTATGGAGACAGGCTGAGAGAGTTGGGGTTGTTCAGCCTGGATAAAACTCCAGGGGCACCTTAGAGCCCCTTCCAGTACCTAAAGGGGGCAACAAGAGAGCTGGAGAGGGACTTTTTGTGAGAGCATGTAGTGACAGGACAAGGGGGAAATGGCTTGAAAGACAGCAGATTTGGATTAGATATTCGGAAGAAAATCTCTGCTGAGGACGGTAAAACACTGGCACCGGTTGCCCAGAGAAGCTGTGGATGCAACATAGCTGGAAGAGTTCAAGGCCAGGTTGAATGGGGCTTTGAGCACCTGATCTAGTGGCAGGTGTCCCTGCCCGTGGCAAAAGGTTTGAAACTGTATGTTCTTTAAAGTCCTTTCCAACCCAAACCATTCAGTAGTTCTGTGATTCAATCATTTGATATGAGTTGCTGAAACTATCCATCTGCTTTTCCTCTCCCCTGCACAATGGTCAGTGTGTCAGTAAGGTACATTAGTATCAAATCCACAGAAACTACCAAAGAAACCTTCAGTATTTTCCAAGGTGTTACTACTTTGCTGCATTATTTGTAGTAAAACACCCTAAAGCACTTAGACCTCGTATTTGCCTTTACATGTAGGGCTTCTTCAAACCCAGGGACACAAAGCTGGGATTCCAAGTTAAGCCAGCAATCAAGCACTAGGTTACTGGGCAGCTTAGTTTTTATCCTATGTTAATCAGCAACTTCGTCTCATGAATCATATGCAAAACACTAGTGGAGTCCCAGGATAGTTTTGGTGAAAAACAGAGCTTCCAGGCATGACCAGAGAGGATAAACAATACTGTCATTCTAGGTCAGGTTGCTGTTTCTAAGCACCCTGGGGCTTGTGACAAATCCAGACCAAGGATGCAGCTTTTCCAGGACTGACCATTTTCCTGTGTTTGGATGACAAAGGTTTGCTTTCAGGGTAGCCAAATATGAAGTGTGTGTGAAGCCTGGTGTTGGCATGAGATGCTGCCAGGGAAAGGTCCACGCCCCTTCAGAGCAGCTCCTTCCCTTGCCGTAGGTGCTGTGCTCAAAGTCACTCTTCTGAATCCTGAGTGACACAATCTGGGTGGGACTGGATCATACTCTCATACCTCAAAGCCTTCCTGTTTGCACAGCCACAGCTGCCCCAGCTCAGCAGAAGAGAGCTTCAGGGAAAAGCTGAGCCAAACTTTCAAACCAAGGGAGCCCTAACAGAGCATGTCACTCACAGACCTCAAAGGGCTTGGCAATAAAGGTCAGTACACTCTCCTTACTTCACAGGTGGGAAAACAGGTGAAACAAAGCTGTGAGAAAGGGAAACTATTTTATTGAGATTGTAAAACAGTTTGGATCAGGGAACTGGGGCATAAATCTCCTGTGCCCAGACATGCTCTTCTGGGTACTGTGTGCTTTAAACTGACAGGTATTGCAGGGAAGCTGGTCATCTCCATCATTTTTGCTGACTCCGAATACTAAGCATGGGCTTGTAGTGCCTAAATGGAGGTAGAAAAATCTTTTCATTTTCTGGCTGTTCCTGTATAAACCACCTCTACCATACAAGTTCCTAGTAGACATCCTGGAGCCTCTGGAACTCTTCCTCTTCAAGAAAATGATTAATGGGAAAGTGAATACCTTTATTTCCCTGTTTTCCTCCATGGTGCACAGCAGAATTTGTTGAAACAGTCACTTTGTCTCCATAATCATGGTATACTTGTCACTTCTATTTAAGTGTGTAAATAGTGTGATAATAAAGTTAAACAAGCAAACAAACAAACAACAAACCAAATCCCCGAAAAGGTTGTATCCACAAATTGACTCCTCTTTGTTTGGCATTCCTACTAGACAAAAAAAAAAAAAAAAAAGGCTCCATGGGGTTGTTACAGTTATTCCTTATTGCTGAACTTTACTGTAATGGAGGTTTTTGCTTCTCTCCACCAGACAGGAGTGTCCTGGAGATGAAACCCTGTGCCACCTACGAGCTGTTAGTGAATGGTGTCGGGCCATGGGACTTCACTGGAGGTTTTGTTCCCTGTGAGCTGCTCCTTGTTGGAGAGGACGCCTACCCTGTGCTCCTGAGTGCCAAGAAGCAGGTCCTGATTGCTGTTTCACAGTATGGGAAGGGCCGGATGGTGGTCGTTTCCCATGAAGGAATCCTGAAGAGCCCCAAGTTCTCCCAGTTCCTCCGAAATGCCTTGGAGTGGCTCAAGCCTTGCCCAGATGCCCTGGTTGGGGTTCATCCTCGGTTGGATTCCCTGTCCCAGGTGCTGCTCGGGGCTGGCACCCGAGTGCAGGTGGGGGCAGAGCCCAGCCCATCCATGGGGGTGTTCTGTATGGATGCCTATGACAGCTCCCAGGCCAAAGGCATCGTGGACTTTGTCAAAGCGGGTGGAGGGCTGCTTGTTGGAGGCCAAGCCTGGTACTGGGCGAGTCAACATGGCAAGGAGAAGGTGCTGTTTGAATTCCCTGGGAACCAGGTGACCAGCGTGGCTGGAGTGTACTTCACAGGAAACGCCGTGGAAAAAGGCGTCTTCAAAGTCGCCAAGAAGATTCCCAAGATCCCATTAGTTGTCCCGTGAGTACCTGAATTGCCCTCTCTTTAAACCACCAGCCAGGTCATGTGGGTGAGTTGTTTGTAGAAGATTTGGGAGGTGAGAGGTGAGGGTGATGGTGAATGCTGGTTCTTTAATAACCAGGATGGAATTGTTGCCTTCCAGTTTAAAGGGGATCTTCCCATTCTTTGCAATTGGAAAGAATGTTGTTTTCAACTGTTTCCAGGGCAGCAGGACCAGGCCCAGGGAATCCATTCTAAGAGAAGGAAATGAGAGGAGCCGTCTTTTAGAGCAGCCTGCCTGATGAAGTGTACCTGAGTGAAATGCAGCAAAACAGGGACAGGAGGAAGAACTCCTCTCCCTCTCCCCACACATCTCTATTTTCAGGGCAACTTTCCCACAGCTGAAAACCAGGCTGGAGGTAAAGCAGCAGGCCAGCTCTCTGGCTGACAGCTGCTAAACCTGTTTAGCCTGTTCCTTGCAGGAATTCACTTCTGCTGGTAAGCCTCTGGAGCTGGCCAGAGCTGAGGCACGGTGCCTCCTCCCTGCTCAGCTTCTGACACAGGCTGTGGACAAGAAATCTCAGTGCTCCCAGTTTGTTTGGGATTCCAGCCTGGCTCTTTGGGTTCTGAATTATCAGGTGTAAAACTCAGGGCTGTTATGACTCATATTGCACAACTGACCAGGTATTGGAGTCCTGGATGTTGCCCTGCTGTCTTCTTTCCCTTGCCAGTGGCTATGCCAGGCTCTTTCTCCTGCCACTTTCTGCTAAGTTACATAAGGCACAGCAGGTTCTCCAAGGAGCATTAGTGCTGCTGCACTTCCTCTGTGTGGCTACTTCATTTCACCCTAGTGATAACCACAGCAATTAATGTAAAACTCCCTGCAAATCTTTCCTTCACAGCCTTTTGCTTGTGGATATAGAATGCTAAATTTCTAATATTTTCAAACAATTAATAGACTTTGATACTTTTTCTTGTTTTTCAGTAAAGGTAGTAGACAGCTCTGCTGTTTAAATCAGTGAAATGCTTAGGGCACAGCTAACAAATCAGGTTGCTTAATTAAAATTTTGCTGGTTGCTTCTTGTTGCCACCTGCACTGCACAGGCATGTTCCCATTGCTTCGTGCACAGGGCATGGAAGAGGGAAAGGGGTGGGGAATTCAGAAGAAAAAAATTACATCACAATTAACAAGACTTCAAACGGTAACTAAGGGTGAATTACACCTTGTTTGGGTTGTTTTTGTGGGGATTTTGTTTGAATCCAGAGCCACAAAGAAATTTAGATCTCCATTTTTTGTGTAACACAACAGCTCTGTACCTGTGGGTCTTCCTGCCAGATCTGTGTGCAATCAGGCTTCAGTCTGAGACAGAGGCTCTGCCATATGCCTGGGCACATGCTTTGTGTGACAAAGGGTCTCAGTAAAGCAATAACCAAAGAAGAGCTGCAGATTTAATTCCTGTCCTACGGGCATGAAGAAGGGCAGCATCGTTTATTCTCACTGAGTTGGCAGCAATGGCCACGAGACAACAGATCCTTCACAGGTGTTGGGTGAAAACTGTTTGGCAGAACCAGGGCAAAGTGTTCACAAAGCAAACGAGAGTAATTCAGCATGCCTTTCTCCACAGTGACATATAGGAGTTATATGGAAATAGCAGAGATAAGAGAGCCTTGTGCAGCCTGATCTCTTTTTATTGTGGAGACCAACAATGTGAGGTAGCGTGAGGTGTATGTGTTAAAGCTCTAATTCAACTTCCAGTCACTCACTATTTGTCTAGCTGTGTGTCTTCCTGTCCGTGTAGCCCATCTATCCTAGCTCTCCTTTCTTCAGTTCTCAACCGTGGCAGAGCTTGGGAAAAGGCACAGAAATCTTCTGGGCTCGCCTAGTTCATAAAGGCTTGGGTAGGGCAAATAGAGAAAGTTTCTCTTAAAGGAGATATACCAATTCCCACATTATGTGCAGTTTAAATCTGCAGTTTAAAAAAACTGTGAAGGGTCTGATTTTTGAGTTTCTGCAATGTATTTAGATTTTCAAGTGGCTCTTCAAAGATGGAGGTCTAGAAGCTTCTTTTTGACCTATACATTCCATTTTCTAAATAAGGGCTGAGATTCCTAGAGATTTGCTTGGCTGTAACAGCTGAGGCTTTAAAAGGAGAAAAATAAGGCATTGATGGATTTCTTTTTATTTGATGGAAGAACTGACAGCATGATGTCCTGGGATGAAGGAGAAGGAAGAGGCAGGGATGGACACTGAGAATAGCTCAGTTGATTGGGGCGTGGTGCTGCTAATAGTGTCGAGGAGGTGGGTTTGATCCCTGTATGGACCACCTGCTTAAGAGTTGGACTCAGTGATCCTTCCAACTCAGAATATTCTGTGAAATCAGGAAAAGAACTCCTTAAGTTTCAGCTGTGACACCAGTCATGTTGTGCCAAGGATTCTGGGCTTGGGAGCTAACCTGGACCTCTCTTGGCTCCGCAGGCACCAGGCCAACCTGAGCCTTGATGCTGAGTTTCTCCTGCACGGGGTGTTGGAGCTGGATTTGGTGACGGGGGGCATCCCCTCCACCTTGCTGGTGCACGGAGCCCTGTCCTTCCCGCTGTGCCTGGACCGCTCCCAGCGCTGCTTCTTGGCTGCCGCTCGCTACGGCCGTGGCCGCGTGGTGGTGGCGACCCATGAGAGCCAGCTGTCCTCCCCAAAGCTGGCCAGATTCCTGCTCAACGCTGTGTCCTGGCTGGATGCTGGGAGGAAGGGGCTGGTGGCGGTGGATCCCAAACTGAAGAAGCTGTGCAGCCTCCTATCTCAGGCAGAAGTGAAGTCACAGCTGTCACAGCTGGCGGGTGACATCAGCGTGTACTGCTGCACTTCTTACGGCGACGGGGATGCTGAGAGGATCCACGCTTTTGTGGCCGAGGGAGGTGGCCTGCTGGTGGGGGGCCAGGCTTGGTACTGGGCTTCCCAGAACTGTGGCAAAGCTGCTGTGGCAAAATATCCTGGCAACAGGATCCTGAACCGCTTTGGGCTGAGCATCCTGGGGCAGAGAGGCCGGGCAGCCAAGTACGCGCCCGTGGGGCCGGGGGAGCACTACCACTTCCGCAGGGCTCTCCTGCTCTTCAGCACCCAGCTGCAGGAGCATCAGGAGCCCACGGAGCCCCTGAAGGGCTGGCTGCACCCGCTGGCACAGGACTGCGCTGCCTTCCTGCACATCCCAGCCCACGACTGCCCGGCGTACGCCTCGCTCCACCGCATCCTGACCAAAGTTCTCAAGAGGACTGGGATCCCGCAGGTCAGCAGGCACTGCCCGGTCAAGAGCAACTCCAAAGAGGCCGTGCTTCTCTGCATGGCCACCGAGCTGTCCCTAACCATGACGGACAGCACAGCCCTGGTGCAGAAATCGCCTGCTGGGGTCTGTGCCCCTCCTGTCACTGTGGAAATCGATGGCACAAACCCAGGTGAGGAGCTATCTCTGTGCCTCTGAAGGCATCCTGTTGCTGGGATCAGTGGGGTGCCTGCCCTCAGTGTGCCTGTGTCTGTGTATGCCTGAACATGGACACAGATGTGCAGTTTCACCATGGGCTTCAGAGGAGACTGAGCTCAGTGCAGTGGCAGACAGGCTCCTTTTTGTGGCCAGCTGTGATCTCAGCACCTGAAACACCCCATAGAAGTCTTGATTCCTCCGTATTGGTGCACAGGCACTGTCAGGAGAAGAACCCCCAATGTGGTACCACAGGGCACTTGCATGGCACAATGATTTTGAGAAGAAAGCTTCTCTGAGAAACCCTGAACGCTGCACTGCAGATTGCTGTTCCCATAGTTGTGCTGATACAGCTGTCTATGGAGCCATCCTGCAAAGAGATGGGAGTTAGAAACAAAAGGTTTATTTGTAATCTAGGTAATTTAAGCCTGAGGTATAGCACAGTCCCACAGCTCGGTGTGTCAGCACGCTGGAGGGAAGATCTGGTTTTGGGGATGAAAACAAGAGGCTGGAATTATGGTGGGAACTTCTTGAGCTGACAGCATCACTGAAGTCAAAGTATTGAGTAATTACACCGTGAATGATTTGTCTAAGCTTAGGCCTTGTGTCTGTACCAGCTTGCTGAGATTTCTGCTCACAACTGATATGTTTAAACTCTGAGTTAAGTTCCACTAGTAACTTTTATCCCCTGGAGAGATTTTTTTGATATTAGAATATGATTTAGAGGAGTTGATTCCAAATTGTTCTAGTGAATAAAGGAGGCTGTTCTGGAATGGCAATGTCTGAGTACAGTGGCTATGCAGAGAGAAAAGTTATAAAATAGCTTCTCACTGGTTTTAACACTAATGAGTCAGGACAAAAGCAAATATTCAGAATTTGTGTCATTTCACAGAAATGAAAAAGAAAAAAAAGCTGGCAAACCCTGAGCCCCGTTTCAAAACTGCTTTTGGTGCAAATTCTGCAAAACTGAGATGAGCTGGTAACACACTGATATAATCTAATTTGCATTTTCCCTTGGATTAGGTTTTGCTTGACAAAACTGGTTCTGCCTTCTTGGATGACAGGAAAGGTTGTAAATTGAGTGTTAATGACAGTTCAGCTCTTTTCAGGACTTCTGGTGTTTGGATTGAAATATGCCTAAGTAAACTTTATGTCAGAACTAGGGAGTGGAATCTGCCTGACCATTGCAATAGAGATGGGTCAGTTTTGCACTGTAAATTGCAAGTGTTTAAAGAGATTTATGCTGAGGAGACTTGCATTTCCATGGGAAGACTGTCTAGAAAGATGCAGAATTGTAGTGGTATCCTTCTTACAGGTACACCTAACACAGAATGGTCTTTTGAGGCTTTCTCATCACTTCAGTCAGCTAGAAATGACAATTCTTGTGGGCTCTACAGTTTGTGGCTCCAGTTTGTGCTGGACCAGTCACTAAGGAAAAACGCAATGCCACTGTCAGTCTGTTATTTGGGAAATGTTTTATGACCATTACAACTTCAATCGTGTAATCACACCATGGCTGGCACCTCTTATGAGGAGATCTTTAGGATAAGAGCGTCTGGGTGTAGGAGGTGTTGGGGTTTTGGCTTCTTTTCTTTTTTTTTTTTTTTTTCTCATTTTTAGAAGATACTACTAAGTACATTTAAGTTTCACGTTTCCAGAGGTGTAAATCTGGATGGGCTTGCTTGCAAATGGTGTGATGATTTTGCTCATTTCTTTGAAACTGACAGGTATTTCTGAGAAGTTGAGTAAATGCGAGATAGTTCTGTGAGTGTAGAGCAAAAGAAAAGGAACGGATGGAAGATTATTCTCTTATTGCAACTTGAAATCTCCAGGATCTGTAATGATCTGGACAAAGAAGTGCTTGACTGTTCAGGACTGTGTTCTCTTCTGTTTTAGGAGAGACAGCCTGGAGGAGCACAGGGCTCTACCTCCCCGAAGGGCACACAGCAGTAATAACGTGCCCTTGCCTGGTGGTCGGTGCTGGTCTGCAGGTAAACTCTCTCTGCTTGGCTTACATTTGTCGGGTGAGCGCTCAAAGAATAGCCCGGGGAAGGGTTTTCTCCTGAATGGCTTTTCCTACCTTTCCCGCCCTTTCCTACTGCTGCCACCCTGTGGCACTTTAAATGCTTTGTCATAATTTCTTCACCTTGTGTCTCCTGCTTTTCTTTTGCATTCCTCCCATTCTGTGTGCTGGTGGGGTAATTGAGTGTGACTGCTGCTTGAGGGCTGTTTGTTACGGTGTTGTTATGGTGCTAAAAACCTGATCAACGTGATTTTCAGGTCCAAGGTAAGTACGTGGGCCCTTCTATGAACCAAACTTGATTCCTTCTCCCCAGATCTCTCATAAATTCCTTTGACAGTGCTGTCACTCCTGCTCATGTAGATGTATCCAGATGAGATAGGCACTGTTACTTGGGATCCTGTTCTCTGCAAAATACAACACAGGCAAATGCTTGCCTGCTTGGATATTTTTTGCAGTGATCTCCCTGCAGCTGAAATGCAAAGTTAACTCAGGTGCTTCTGTCTGATCCTGCAGCCACATGGTGTCTGTTTTATTACAAGAGCTCAAAGGAAGAGGCACAATAAAAGAAGCCAGTCATGGTGACATCTCTCCAAATCGTGTTATAGGAAGTGACTCTGATTCTGGGGAAGGGTGGAGGAATGGTCAATGTAAGTGCAATGCAGTGGAGGAAGTCACTGCAGTACTCTGACCTGCTGGTGAAGGATTCAGTTGAGCCAGGAATAGTTGGGGTAGATCTGTAAGACTGAGATAGGAACAGCATGAACTTTACCTTTTTTTTTTAACTGTATTTACTGCCTCTGGTCACCACAGGCTGAAAACTTGAAGTAGGCTGGAATCAGAAGGCTGCTTCTGTGTGCATGCTCTGCAGGGTCAGTGCTGCAGTGGAGAGCTCAGTGAGACCAGTCTGCTAGGTCACACTGGCACACCTTTGACCAGCTGTTCCTACACTTCTGCTTGCCAGGTACAGGTTGGGTGTCACACGGATGACCTCTCTAAAGCCAAGGAGCTGAAACGGGCACCAGTGGTAATACGCACCTGTGATGTTGCCTGCCAGAAACAATCCATCTCCTGCCTCTGGGGTGGCCTCATTTACATCATAGTACCAGCAAAGAGTGTCCTGGGGAATGTACCCATCACGGTGGAAGGGGCAGTCCGAGCTCCTTTCTTCAAGCTTGGTAGGTTTGTTTACCTTGGTGTTTTTTGCCTGAGGGCTGCTCACAGATGTTGTCCCAGTGACTGAAAGGAAAGATGGTCCTGTGCTTAGGAGGGTCTTAGAAATGCTTGGATTTAGGAATACCCAGATTTATTTCCCTTACTAGGTTGTCCTCTGGGATTCCCATTTTTCTACCAATTTTTCAGAAGGGTGGAAGGGAGGCCTCCAGGAATCACCAACCTGTCAGTCTCAGCTCTGTGCCTGGGAAGATCATGGAACAAACCCTCCTAGATGCTATGCTAAGGCACATGGAGGACAGGGAGGTGATTTGGAACAGCCAGCACAGCTTCATCAAGGGCAGGTCCATCCAAGAAGCATGGAGACAAACCCTTTAGCAGGACCTGTTGCAGTAGGACAAGGGGAAATGGTTTTAAATTAAAAGAGGATCAATTCAGACTATGTATAAGGAAGAAGATTTTTACAATGAGGATGGTGGAAAACTGAAACAACTTGCTCAAAGAGGTTTCTCTGTTTCTGGGAAAGTCACTTAGTCACTCTGAGCTTGCTGCGTGGCTGGGAGTAGGTGAAAGAGCTTTCACAAAATGGGTGGGGTTTGTCCACATCAACATTTCTTGGAGTATGGAGCTGTTATTATTTCCGATGGAAACTGCTGTGCAGGGAAGAGGGAAACTGATCTCTGCCATGGCAAAGCATGCTCTGTGCTCTGCCTGCTTTACTGTGCCCTCATATGGCCATCT